AGAAAGGACTGGAGGGAGGCAACATGTCTGGCCTGGCAGTAATAGGCCTTGGGTTACTGCTGGTAACCCTGTCTTCCCTTTGTGGAATTAGAGGAGGTCAGAACATGTGGCCTCCTTGTCATTTTTGCAGGTTGGCAGACAGTGTTTCTACAAGTGTATTGATATGTTCTGTAAGAATTTCTGGGTATATATATAGAAGAGCTGACAAGAGACAAGGTTGTAGTCACTTCTTGGTCATAGCCAGCTACCCAGAGGGAGAGAATAGTTGGGCCTGTGGGCTCAGGACCATAGTCACAGCTCAATGGGCATAACATACTTCACAAAAACATTGTTCCACATCCTAGTTTGGAGTAGTAACTGGGATCTTAAAAGCTTGCAAGTGGCTATCTAGATGCAACGATGGGTTTCTCCTAGTTGAGAACAAAGAAGAATGAAGAAAACCAAAACTGCATGGAAACAATTAGTCCAAGTGACTGGTACACCATGTGATCCTCGGCCTATACGAGTATGAGACCAAAAGAACTAGATGGTACCCAGTTACCACTGTCAACCACTCAGAGGGGGATCTATGTAGGAGATCCTGGATAGAGTGGGAGAACAATGTGGAACAAAACTCAAAGTCATTAGAAAAAATAAAAAGGGACCAGGTTTACTGGTCTGATAGAACCTGGTAGGACCCCTGAAACTATGGCCTCTGCAAATGAACCCACTCCTGTGGCTTCAAGCCAACAAAAGACAGGCATATGAGCTGAATATTTACATTAGGTAGATACTCTCTTTGGAGAGATCAATCATGGGAGAATAGAAGGGCTGTGTATGCACAGGGAAATACCCCAGGGGAGCAGGAGTGCATGGGATGGAAGGACACAGGGAAGAGGTAACTATGGGGAGGAAGTGGGAGGGGAGCTGTTGCATTGTGGAAAATTATAGTCAATGTCATGAGGCAAAGCGTATGTGAGCTTCTGTATGGAAAGTGAATTTGCTCTGTAAACTTTCACCCAAGTCACAATAAATTTTTTTAAAAAAATTATTGCCACCATTTTTAGAGGGTATCTAAGTAGGCTTAGAAAAGCAAGGACCTGCTGAACACCCCAGCTGCTACTGCTGTTGGGAATCAACCACCAGCCTGCTCCCTTTAAGGCCAGGCCCTAGCCCCTAGAGCACAACCTTGCCTCTGAGGCCATTTCTTCTTGCCATGGAGAAATGGAAGGAACAGTACCTTGGGAGTCAGAAGCCTGGATGCTCACCCCAGAACTAAACCAGCCTCAGTTATCCTCAAAATTCATAGTTGTAGACTTGAGTATTGACACACAAAATGGGTACATCTGTAATAACTGACTCTCACAGTGTTACTGAAATACACGGCCAAATTTCCCATTTTTTGGAGCAGTTATCTTTCCCAGGATTCATACCAAGTCAGTACCATGGGGAGAGAAGAGGATTAGAGTGGGCATTGCTGCTGGTTTTAGGTGGGCATTAGGGAAATTGAGATCTGAGTGGGAACAGACACATTATCAAGACAGCAATGGGTTGGGAGTCTGCTGTTGTTGCTTTTGGTTTAAGCATCCTAACATGAAAGAATTGGATTAAAGTTGATTTCTGATGATGTCTCAATCCTGAAATCTTAGGAACAAGTTAGTGATGGAAAACACTAAATGCTGATTCACTTATTCTTGGAATCCCTTTTGATTACCTTGACTCTCTCATGGTTTCTCTCTCATCTCTATAGTGCCTTCAACAACATTCTCAGTAACCTGGGCCATGTGCTTCTGGGCTTCCTCTTCCTGCTGATAGTTTTACGGAGGGATCTTCTCCACCGAAGGGCCCTAGAAGCTAAAGACATCTTTGCAATGGTAAGGAGAGGTCAGGGTGGTTGGAGTTCGGAAGGTAGGAAGGATTATGGTTCCAAACAGGATCTGGAAAGGAGAGGGACATTGGTTTAATGTTATGATGATATACTATGGTATAATGAATCACATAAGGCCAAAAGAATAAACTTCCAGATTCTGTGGATATATCACTAATTAGTATCTTTGTATTAACCAACCTTTCTCCATTTTTAGGAGTACGGGATCCCCAAACACTTTGGTCTCTTCTATGCAATGGGCATTGCATTGATGATGGAAGGAGTACTCAGTGCTTGTTACCATGTCTGCCCTAATTACTCCAACTTCCAATTTGGTAATTAGAATTTATATCAACTACACTGATTTGAGTTATAGGAGTGCTATCCTAAGACCTTCCCAAAAGTGCCAAAGTCACACTTGGAAGAATGAAATGGCATTTCATGTATGATGAAGTGATCTGAAGGCACCACTCCATGGAGCATCATTTCCATAGGTTGTATCATTTTCCTCTCTGACTGCCTTTTAGACTAGAAAACACTCAACATTGAATGTTGATCTCACATCTAGAACTGATTGTTGACAGGGGGCTAAATATTAGGCAGCAAATCAGACAGAATGCCCCAACAGACATCTAGAAAGGTCCCTGTGTTAGACTGGGTTCTCTAGAGAAACAAAACCAGTAAAACTTAGAGAGAGAGAGAGAAAAAAAAAAAAATTTATCTTAGGAAAATGGCTCACACACTTACAGAAGCTGGCAAGTCCCAAGTTCTTGGATCAAACATCAAGCTGGAGACTTTTCCCGACTCACACAGTTACAGGGGTTGAGGAGCTCAAGGTTGGCAGGCAGTATACTGGCTGTTGACTCCAATGAATGATGAATCCAAGATCTCCAGGCCGAATGATGGATTGTTCACTCACAGACAGTTGTAGGCAGAATCCTGATCCACAGAAGAGTGTCTTTTTTCCTAGGATGTCCATAAATATACCGGAAGCAGACCATGCCCCTAGGGAAACTCCCTTTCAATGGATTGGCTGCTTAAAACATATATATCTGATCCCATCATTGGAACAACCCACATCACAATTGCTTAAACCACACAGAATTGTGGTCCAGCCAAGTTGACACAGCTGCAACTATCACAGTTCCTCTGCGCAAACCCAATTCAGATTGGATTAAATAATAATGTTATTAATCAGCTCACCATCTGGAAGCACACAGGTAGAAAGGACTTGTAGTTGGCTTAATCTAATGGCTCTGATTTCTCTGTAGTCCTTTTGGTTGTGCATGCCCTGTGTGTTGGTTTTCTCCTTGGGCTGTCTTCCCCCATGGTGACAAAAGTAACTGTTGCAGGTCCTGGCTTCATCTATTCACCCCACAATGTCCAGAGGAGAAGACAGGCAGGCTTCCAGGGAACTTACTTTGAAAGCAAGGAAACTTCTTTCCCAGATTCCCAGATAACTTCCCCTCATACCTCAGTGGCTTGAACAGTCGCAGCTCATTCCTGACCCATTTGGATCATGGTGGCAAAGGAAGCGAGATTATTTTGAACCAATCAGATCCAACTTTGGAGCCAAGGGTTAGGTTAGATTTCCTGAAGCAAATGTACTGAAAGAGTTGCATTTCTGAAATGGAAAGGGGGTAGATGTATAAATTAGCATTGGAGTGCTGTTAGGAAGAAAGAGAAGAACTGATGTTGGTAAGCAATTAACAATGACCTCCCAACTCAATGATAAGGATTTTTTTTTTCAAGGTTGTCTTTATGTTTGTGCCTTTGCTGTTAATCAAAACACCACAAAATTCCCTGCCATATTTAATCTTTTTATTATAAAACATTTTAATAGAGAAAAGTACAGAGAACAATATTATCCACCCTCAGTATGAACAAATGTCAACATTTTTTTATTGTTTGCCTTGAAAAAAAAAGTGACTGTTGCATTAGTTGATCCTGACTCCTAGTGACCCTGTGTGTGTCAGAGTAGAACTGTGATCCACAGGGTTTTCAGGGGCTGGTTTTTTGTAAGGAGATCACTAGGCTTTCCTCCTGAGCTACCTGGGGGTGGACTTGAATGTCTAACCCTTTGATTATCAGCTGAGCGTCTTGACCGTTTGCACCACCCAGAAACTCCATGTTTCCCTTAGATCTACTTTTTAAAAAATGAAACATTGCGATAAAGTTGAGGTTTAGTTGGTTCTTTAAAGGAGCACATTCCTCACAGGTGATATTGCTTATTTTATAGCTGCTATATAGCTGCAAGGAGACCTCCAGGAGTGGCTTCAATTCCAAGTTAAAAGGGTATCTTATGGGGATAATTCTCAGGGGTTTCTCTAGTGTAGTAAGTCTGGTCTTTCTTAGGAACTTGTGTTTTGCTCTACATTTTTCTTCCATTCTATCCACTGATTGCTGGTCAAAATGATCAGTAGAGATAGCCAGGCACCCTCTAGTTCTTCTGGTTGCAGGCTAGAAGAGGCCATGGTTCTTGTGGGCCATTAGTTAACACATTCATTTTTAAGGATTGTCATACTGTACAATAAAAATATACCACATTTATCTACTCCTCTACTGAACAACATTTAGATGTTGCAAATTTTTGCTGTTAGAGACAGACCTGCAAGCAACATCCCTGTATCTGTCTCTTTGTGCAGATGTGAGAGAATTTTGGGGTCACCTTATTTGTATATCTTTAATTTTGCCAAAAATTGCCAAATTGTTCTCCAGAACATTAATTCCCATCTTAGTCTTAATTCCCACTCCCACTAGCTACGTGAGAGTTCTCATTTCCCCACATCATCACTAACACTTGTTATTTTCAGACATTTAAATTTTTTGCTGTATTTTGAGTAATAAGGATGTCTTAGTTATCTCATGCTGCCATGAAAAAATATATATATCCAACAAATACAGTGGCTTTAAAGAACAGATACTCATTCTCTCACAGTTCTGGAGGCCAAAGGTCAGGATCTTCTTGGCCCTGCTGATTCTTTCTGTGGGTCTTTCTACTAGTTGCTGGTGACCGCTGGCAATCCTTGACATTCCTTTGCTGCTTATAGATGCAACTATTGCATCTCCCTAGTGTGTGGGTCTGGGTCTGTTCTGCTTTTTTATAAGATAGCACTCAGAAGGGATTAGGTTTAGAATCTACCCTACTCTGGTATGGCCTTATTAACACAACAAAAGAAAATCTATCTTTCCAAACAGGGTCATATTTACAGATACAGCAGTTAGGACTTCATAACATTACTTTCTGGGGAATTCAATTCAATTCATAATAGTGAGACATTGCATTGTTGTATTACTTCTCATTTACTTAAGTCTAATGCAGTAGAGGGAGCTCTGGTAGCATAGAGCCTAAGGCACTTGACTGCTAACCAGAAGGCTGGCGGTTCAAACCCACCAGCCACTCCTTGGAAGGAAGGTTGGGCACTCTACTTCCGTAGTGATACCGCCTCAGAAACCCAAGGAGGGGTCGCTATGAGTCGGGTCCGACTCGACAGCACATAACAACAATAATAACAACAATGCAGTAGATTCATATTTAATTTCTAACTATTTTCCATTTCTAGACTATAAAACCATATAGATGAGTAATCAATGTGGGCCTATTTCAGGGTGCTTAGAATGGCCTCCTATGTCTACCTAGAACTTTTTATTGTCACATTGCCTAAAATTTCACCATCAGAGTTTCTTAATTATTGTTGTTAAACAAATAGAGATTATCAACTACTTGATATCATGTTATCAGATATTTTTCTTCTATGAGCCAATAAAAGTCTTGAAGGGGATTAGAAGTGGATAGAGTACAGGGGTGGGAGATCCTGCCTAGACAATGTGCCTGGGGAGGCTGACACGTGGGAGGTCTCCACACAATCTGAGAGAAACAGATATTCCATGGACTAGAGTGAGGGGATATTCAAAGGCTGAAGAGAAATCTAAAAAGTATAATTCTGCCTGTCAGTTTCTGAGTCCTGACTGGGCCCCTCTGCTTCCACAGACACCTCCTTCATGTACATGATCGCCGGCCTCTGCATGCTGAAGCTGTACCAGACCCGCCACCCAGACATCAACGCCAGCGCCTACTCTGCCTATGCCTCCTTTGCTATGGTCATCATGCTCACTGTCCTTGGAGTGGTGCGTCCCTCTCCACCCGTCTTAGTCTGACTTTCCAAAGGACCCTGTTGGGAAGTTTCTTTTGTTTGTTAGACCTCAAGTGTACTGCTTTGGATTAATCATAATCCTTGCTTTATTACTATTGACATTAGTCCATTCATAGCACACTTTTATTAGTTATTTAGCTAGTCATTTTTTATAATGTAATAATAATAATAATAAAAAACTCACTGCCTTCAAGTGTATCCAATTCATAGCAACCTCTCCTTGGTTTCTGAGGTAATATCTGTACAGAAGTAGGTTGCCCCGTCTTCCTTCTGAGGAGTGGCTGGTGGGGTTGAATCAGCAGTCAAATGCCTTAGGTAGCTATAATACGACCACTCTCCTTTTAATATAAATCTAGGACCTGACTCATGTGAAGTTGGGATGATGTTGTTGTTGTTGAGGTTGGGATAGAGATGTACAAACTGATTGGGGAGCCTGATTTCAAAAAGTCACTGTCTAAATGTGCTTTCTAAATGTGCATGAGCAACATGTTGGTTGTCTGCAGTTATTTGAAGTGCATTAACCCCAACTTGAAGGGGGTCTGGTAGCATAGTGACTAAGGCATATGACTGCTAACCAGAAGGTTCATGGTTCAAACCCACCAGCCACTCTGCGGAAACAAGACTGGGCAATCTACTTCTAAGATGTACCACCTTGGAAACCCAATGGGGTTCACTATGAGTCACAATCGACTTGATGGCAGTGGGTTTTTTTTTAACCCCAACTTTGAATCTGTTTCCCCTTGTTTCATTCAGTTGCCTCACCCATTTCTTCCCTTTTCCATCTTCATTTGGCCAGGAACCCTCAGGCAGTAGCCATTCCTCTCCCTGCCCTTGATGCAGTATGATCATTGTGAGTTCAGAGAAGGGGAAAAAACAAAACCTCACACAGCTCAGTTTTTGATTCCTCATCATCCATGACAGATAGAAGGATTTTAGAGAGTTCTTTGGGAAAAACCTTGAGTGAAGGTAACTTCCATCATTATTCCTAGGTTTTTGGGAAAAATGACATGTGGTTCTGGGTCATCTTCTCTGCAATCCATATTCTGGCTTCTCTGGCCCTCAGCACACAGATCTACTACATGGGCCGTTTCAAGATAGGTAAGTCATCTGTTACTCTATAATAAATACACTGATTATTTTCCCCTGAGGCAACAGGCATCATCTTCACTTATTCTAAGTGAAAACACATCATGAATACACATATCATGAATATTATTAATTCTGGGCTATGTTTAACAGTATATATTATTTCCAAGAGTTTCCTCTCCCTTACAGGACTATAATAAGCTATTACCACCAGTTTTATTTTCAAGAGACACTAAACTTGCTAGACTTCAGAGCTGAGGCACAGCTTCTAGTCCCAAATGCTTTGCAATCCACCAGGTTTTGAACGTGCATTTGCAAATCAAAGCAACAATGAGATATCATCTCACCCCAGCAATAATAGCAAAGTTCAACAAGACAGAAAACAACAAATGCTGACGAGGTTGTAGAAAGATTGGAACTTTCAAACACTGCTAGTGGGACTGCAAAATGGTTCAACCATTGTGGAAAATGGTATGGTATTTCCTTAAAAAGCTGAAAATAGAAATACCATTTGAGCCAGCAATTCCATTACTAGGAATATATCCTAAAGGTGACAGACAGGACATGGACAGGCATATGCACACCCATGTTCATCATGGCACAATTCACTATAGCAAAGAGATGGAAGCAACCTAAATGTCCATCAATAGATTAATGGATAACCAAATTATGGTACATTCACATAATGGAATACTATGCTACATTAAAGAACAATGAAGGATACACAAATCATCTGACAACATGGATGAGCCTGGAGGACATTATGCTGAGTGAAATCAGTCAATCACAGAAGGACAAGTACTGTATGAGCCCATTACTGTAAAAAGTCAAGGAAAGGTTTATTTAGGGAAGTTCTCACTTTGTAGGTTACTGGGGATGGGAGGGAAGAGGAGGGAAAATTTCGGACTACTTGGTGTCACATGTTGATTTGGGTAAGGGCAGGGATGGTATGGAAAGTGTCTGTGACCAGCATGATGACACTGGGGAAAGGGAGAACACCAAATCATGCACATAAGATAAAGACAGTAGAGACAAATACTAGTATGTGCGCAATACTGCATTACCACTAACACCAAACACCAGGCTACATATAAATGCATAAACAACTGAGATCAGGTGGGGGTCAGCAAACAGGAATGTACCCTAGACCAAGGATAGACTTAGCTGAAGATAATCTTACATAGCTATGAGGAGACAAGTGATACAAAATTAGTCATACTTATTACAGAAACAACAGAAAACAAAGTTGGAGTAACCTCTCAGAGACAACCAAACACTTTGGAAGAGAGAAGCACCAGGCCTGCCGACTTGGGGCCATGGTATTGGGGGACACCAAGCTCAATTAGCACAACATAGTACATAAACATCTTGTCCCATGACCTACTTTGGTGAGTAGGAACTGGGGTCTTAAAACCTTTCTAGTGGTCATCTAAGATGCAACTATTGGTCTCCTCTCATCTGAAGCAAAAAAGAGTAAAGAAATTCAAAGGTATTTGCAAACAATTAGACCAAGGATATGATGGACTTTGAGACCAGAAGAACTAGGTGCCCAGCTACCGATGCCAACCACTTGAGAAGGGATCAAAACTGGAGATCCTGGATAGAGTGGGAGGAAAAATATGGAACAAAACTCAAAAACACAAAAGTGACCAGAATTACTGGTCAGATGGAACCTAGTGGGGCCCCTAAGACTATGGCCCCAGTATACCCTTCAGGCCTGGCATTGGACTCACTCCTAAGGATCGCCTCTCAGCCCAACAGTAGAAAGACTTACATGCAGAATACCCAACCCAGGGAGATGCACCCACCTACTCAGACCCCTTACAGCAATAGGCTATGAGGCACCAGAGGGGCAGCATTCACATGGAGGGAAAGCTGGACAGAGAGGAGTGCATAGTTAAGAAGGGCACGGGGGCGGGGGGGGGGGTGTCACAAGGATGGAAGGGGAGGAGAGTGTATTATGGTCAGGGATGGTAACTGGGGTGTGAAATGAAATGTACACAAACTCTTGAATGTAAAACAAATTTTGCAAATTTGCACCCAAAGCACAATTAAAAAAAAAAAAAAAAAAAAACTTAACTCACCTCCAAGGCTCAGCTTTCAACTAAATAATGGAATGATGGACAGGCCTATAAGGTGAACAATAATACCAGGGAAATATGCACTCCTTAGACCAATCAACCACAGAAGATCAAAAGGAAAGCATTTGCCCTGGGATAAAGTTCAGAAGAAGGTAGGAAGGGATAAGAAAGAAGGAGGACTGGAAACAGTAAATGCAGAGAGGAAATAGGAAGCGTGTTGTTACATTGTGAACATTGCCACCAGAGTCACAAAACAAAATGAGTATGAACTGTTGAATGGAAAACCAATTTGCTTGGTAAACTTACGCAAATCACAATGAAAAGTTAAAAAAAAAAAGAGTGAATTTGGAGAATGGTATGATTACTCATACCACTTGTTCCTCCTAGAGAAATATTTTTCAGTTTGCGGCATTTAAAAAGACCATTTCTCTAGTTATGGTAAATAGTTACCAAGAATAGATTACACATTATTTCCAAATTCTGGAACTGGAATTTTGTGTGACCAACTTGTCAATCATAGAGTCAGCACACCTGCTGAACTCCCTGTGACAAGGTGAACTTCTCAGCAGTGAGTGTTCTGGAGAAATCAGCCTGTGATCTGCTGTTCATAGGGCACTGCACAGAGGAGCAGGTTCAAGTTGTTTTGAAGCATTTAAATTTCACAAATCATTTTGAAGTCCAGGAGGTCAGATTTACATATATTGTCTTACATTTTTCAGAACAAATCATAACATATAAAGGTAGGTCCACCTCTGATATTTGAAAGACCCAGAGTAAGAGTACAAAGGGTGTTCCACATACTATGTGTCTAAAAATTTTATAGAGCAACTAAAAAAACCATTAAATATGTTAAATAAACCAATAAAGATAAAGTGGTAAATAATATATCTTCATTACAACCTAGAAGACCAAGTTTAAATTCAAAATTCTCAGTTCCTCAGAAGAACACTCCAGAACATGGTTGTGCAGGAAAGCTGGTCCCCAGCCTTGATCCTGGCTTGGTGCCCCACCCACTCTATCTTGCATCATAAGGGTTCTCACAGGTATGCATATGAGCTCTCTCACCCAACATCTGATATCCATCCTCTTGCACAAAAAGCTGCCTCCTGGTCATTCCTTACAGGTAGAGGTGCACACGCTAGTGGTGCTATGTGCCCTTGGGAGGAGAGGCCAGGGAAGGGGTCTTTGCAGACCCTGAGAGTAGGCTTAAATCTGGGCTGGGGATTCTGAGGTCCAGGAACTCAGAACGTGGTCTAAAAGAGGAAGGACACAAGTTCCAGTTGCATAGTCTCAGCCCTGCAGTCTTCTCACTTAATGGGGAATGACAGCATTCTAAAATATGGGGGTTCCTCTTGCCCAGGTCTAAGGGAGATTCTGCATAAACAAATGGCTTTAAGGCTAGAAGATCAAATAAAACAATTTCTCATTTTCAAATTTAGTTTTCCCTTTTGCCCTTAGTAGATTTGCTTTTGATGTTAACATAGACAGTTCATCTCCAAATACCCCAGTGAAAGCATCATTAGCCAGTCGTACAGAATATTTGATACAGTGATGTGGACATATCCCAACCTCCACTTCACTTGAAGGTGAGTGAAGTCATACAAACTAAAATCCTTGGTTCTCTCACAATTGAGGAAAAAAAATAAAAACTGAATACAGATATATACAATGCTAATAATGACTAATACATGGAGGAGCTTTTAATATATTTATACCACCTTTTCTTCATGTAGTTTTACAAAACTAAATTAGCTTACCTGTTAAGAAAGGAGGAATGTGACATATTGTGACCATGTTTGTCAGGATTCAAACAGGAAAAATGTCACATCCAAAGATGTCAAGGAGAATTTGTATACAAAGGCAATGCTTATAAAGGCAATGCTTATAAAGGCATGGCCAGTGTAGCGGAGAAACAAAGGTGTACTGCAAAACCTGGGGTTGGTAGCACTAAAGCTTCTGCCATTTGTAATGAACAGGGAGGAAGTAGTTAACAAAATATGGAAGGAGAGTCCTGAAAACAGAGTCACACTGAAAGGATCAATGACCTTTGGTTGACAGACATAGCCAGCCCAAGACAACCTCATAGGGAAGGCCAAAACCAAAAACCAAACTCACTGCCATCGAGTCAGATCCGACTCATAGCGATCCCTCTTTGGGTTTCCAAGGCAGTATCACTACGGAAGTAGATTGCCCAACCTTCCTTCTGAGGAGTGGCTGGTGAGTTTGAACCACCAAGCTTCTGGTTAGCAGTCAAATGCCTTAGGCACTACTCCACCAGAGCGCCAGGGAGATAAATACTCTGAGATCACTGTTCTCCCCACTGTCCCTCCAGTTATGCTGGGGTTCCCCATTGTCAAGTTCAAGGGGAAAAGTGGATAAGGGAACTCCCTTATATAATCCATACAAGTCAATCTCCCAAGGCATGATGCAGAAAGAGAACCATGGAGGGACAGCATGCATTTTAACTGGTTATTTTCAATTTCTCTACCCAAGAAGTCTTCCCAGGTGGCTAAAACTTTACCAGAACCAAAAGGAAAACTCACTATTTAATTGTGACAATGACTGCAACTAAATTTACTCTAAAGGCAGGTATTTTGATTTGTGGAAAATGGCGCAGGCAATGCCAACCACCTTGCCCATTTCTTAAGCTGCCTTCGCTTTTTCAACTCACACGAGCCTTTCTCAGTGACCTTCAGGATATACATAAAAGCAAAAGTGGACACGAAGAACAGCAGTGATGTGGCAGAACTTAGATAAGTAGGACAGAAAATTATATAGCTAGTGCCCAGATCGCAACATTTCCCTTCCCTCACCATCACCAATTAAAAAGCCCATTGCCAGGAAGTTGATTCTGATTCATGATGATCCCATGTGTCTCAAAATAGAACTGTACTACATAGAGTTTTCAATGGCTGATTTTTCAGGAGGAGATCATCAGACCTTTCTTCTGAGGCACCTCTGGGTGGACTGAAACTGCCCACTATTTGGTTAGCAGCTGAGCACATTATCCATTTGCACACCCAGGACCCCAGGAAGGACTGCATGAACTTCTCATGAGAGAAGACAGATGATAGTTTGCAAGTAGTGACAAAAGTGGGGAGTAAGAGACAATTTTTGATTCATTCTTGAAGAGCAGACAATGGTTTGCCCTCAACTGCTAACTGAAAGGTTAGTAGTTCAAATCCACCCAGCAGTACCATAGAAGAAAGAACTGGTGCTCTGCTTCCATTAAGATTACAGCCCAGAAATCTCTATGAAGGAATTCTACTCTGTACTACACGGGGTCTCCATGGGTCAGAGTCACCTCAACAACAACTAACAACACATCTCTGAATGTTTTGAGGCAGCCAAAAAGATTCTGTGTTCTCTTTGATGAACAAACTTTATAATCAGAAAACAAAATTAAAGTTATCTGTTTTAGGAAAAATACAAAATGATGAGTCAATTTACCTGTTTGGTTGCCATCTTACAATTTTTTTTTTTTTTTTTTTCTCATTTCTTCTCTGCTTCCCACTGATTCAGACGTGTCTGACACAGGTAATTTCATCTACCTTTTTTAGGGCTTTGTTGTTTTTGATTTTTCAGTGTCACCAAACTGGTTGTCCTGCCTCTCAGTAAACACTCTTCTTCCAGATGGATAGGCTTGGTGGGAGGGAACAGCCGAGAGGCTCCGAGGCGAGGATGCATTCCAACTCAGCCTACACTACATCTCTTCTGGGTGATCATGAGGACAGAGCATCCATTTGAACATCCCTCCATCCTTCCTCCCCTAGCATAGCCTATTGACCAGTCATTAAATGGACCCCAGGGGAAGCCTAGAAGAGGGGTAGCAGTAACAAAACAAGGGCTGTCATCCACGGTCACTGAGATATTTGTTTCAGGCAGAACTGGCCTTGCATTTGCTATTTCCAGTACGGATGGTTCACAGAAAGCCAGCCCCAGTCTAGACCCCGAGTCTGTTTATACAGCAATTCTAACATGCACACTCGCTGCTTTTCACACCATCTTTTGAGGGATTTGGGGAAGTTCTCACCATATATTTAAAAGAAATCTTCCCTGTCTTTTTCTTCTTCATCTTAACTGGCAATCCTTTGATTATCATTCCAGTATAGGTCTAGGCTTTCCAAACATGCTTAGAAGAACTCAATATCCCTTAGTTCAATTCTTACAAACATAACTACATTGAAATATATAAACTAGAACTTCTTCAAGCTAAGATTTCCCATCCTCTAGGGAGATGGATTTGAAAGGATCAATAACATCTCTGCTGCAAAAGAAACATCACCAGGGTAAACCTGAAACAAACGTGTTTTGCTGAAGGAGACAGGTTTATAAGGGTCATCCAACCAATCATATTATTCATGAACACTTGTCCATTTCACTTGTTTTTCTGTATGGATATGGCACACCATATCACCATGCCATGGATGGGACACAACCTCTATAACAGATAGCACAGGTGGCTGTGGGTGCCATGTTTTAAAGCAAACCTTTATTGCTCACCTATTAGGTGCCAAGCACCATTTCAATGAGATGAAGATAACAGCATCCCTGCTCCCAAAATCTTGAGCCATCTTGGAGTATTTTGTGTTATCTCTTACTAAGCTTTCTTACTATGCAATTGTGTCGTCAGCAGATTTGGGAGTTTTCCGGAGGGCTGCGATGGTGGTATACACGGACTGTATTCAGCAGTGTAGCCGGCCTCTGTACATGGTATGTGGATGTGCTGTGTTTCATGGCCTTCTCCAAGAGAGTCGGGCACCAGCAGGAGGGACAGGCTTAGGGCAGCCACTCAAGACTCCCAAAATGAAGAGAGCTAGATGGTTCAGGGTGGCTGAGGGTCAGTTAGTGGGAGAAGAGACATGTGGCTTAGTCATGGAAGTCTAGCTAGGATCCCATTTTTATGAATGAAATATTTATTAGTATGTGAAGAAGAGAAAAAGTACATACGTAAAACTGTTGAAAAATAGTCATTGCTATGCAGGAGAATCTAGACAGGTGCCTTGAAAATAATTATCCACATAGGTACACTTCTGAAAGTGCAAGGGGCACTATTAGCAATTATCCAAGACAGCAAGTAGGAACCAGACTGTCACAGGAAAACTGGGACATGTGGTCACTCCTGTCACTTTCATTAGGATCTTTTACTTTCCACGTTATACATTTCTGTCTTGTTTAATTTTTATAATGAGCAAGATTTTTTTTCAAATTGTGGTTATTGCTTGATAGCAGAAACACACTTTAAAAAGTTCTTCTTCGTACTTTTGAGCTTATTATGCATTTTCTACACTGAGCAGAGGGATCAGGGCAGTGGTCCCAGCTGTGTCTTATTCACTGGCCTTTGTCCTTGAGAAGGCACCTTTCTTCCTCTGAGCCCATTGCCCCACCATTGCACAGTGCTGCAGTGAGAATTTGTGATGCTGTTTGGGTCTGAAACACAGACCTCACTAAGCACCTGCTAAAGATGGAACAAACAGGTAAGCAGTTGACTGCTAACCAAAAGGTGGACAGTTTGAACTCACCCAGCAGCTACATGGGAAAAAGACCTGGCGATCTACTTCCATTAAGATGACAGCAAAAGAAACCCTATTGGCAGCTCTACTCTGTCACATAAGGTCACTATGAGTCAAAGTCAATTTGACAGCATCAAAAACAATAGTTTATAGTCAGAAATATCTTTCCATAAAGGAAAATAGGATTCTTTTAGCCCTCTAGAACTTGGGCCTAAGCTGTAAGCACTAAAAACTCAGAAAGTTGAGACTGGAGGGTTTATTCAGGTGAGAATCAAAAAAACCATTTGGACCTCTGACTCTTTTGAGAGATAAGCATCTCCTAACTGTGAAACATGAGGAGCAATTAGTTTTTTAAAAAATGAAGATATTTCCTCCAAATCGGATGGATATCCAGAAAAAAACAGAGAATCCCTGCTTTTAAATAGGAGATGAGCGGCCACATGAATTGAAATACAATCAGATAGTGCTAAAAGTTCTAAGTAGTATGCAAAGGAGAAGGACTGAGTTGTGACTAAGTATCTGTCACAGTGATTATCCTTTGTTGTTGTCAGTTGCCATGGAGTCAATTCTGACTCATCATGATCCACTGCCAATCTTTCAGTTAATAGTCAAGAACTTAACCATTTGTACCACCCAGGGACTCCTAATTGTCCTTTAAGATGGAGGTTTTCTCTATATTTTCTCCTCTTCCCAATAACTTTAATGATAAGATGACATGTAGAGACAAGGAGTCTGGCAACTTCAGGGCCTCCTTGGAGCCAGAATAATGGCCAGGAAACTAACTCCCTACAGGTAGGGCCCAAGGCCTGGAAGCAATAGAGCCTACCAAGTAGCATATAATAGGAAAACAGTCCTGATTACAGAAACCAGAAGCAGAATTCTTTGAACTACTATGTAACTGGCACACACACCAACTTCAGCACCTGTCAGCGTGGGCCCCAGTTGTGAGCTTCCCAAAGCACTGGTGGAAAACAGCCAGAGCCCTGCTTTGTGACCATGTGGTCTTTTAGTGGGATACAGTCACATCTGTGTGTCTGGACATTTAATCCATTTAGAGGATTAGTTTCCAGCCATAGGCATAGCTCTCTGAACCATAGAAAATTGTCTTTCACCAAGACTGCCATGTTCCTGTGGTTGATGCCATGCCTCTAGAGCATGGGTTTTAAACACAATGTGTTCAGCCTCTCATTTTCTTTCCTCCTTTCCAGGATAGAATGGTGCTGCTCATTGTTGGGAATCTGGTTAACTGGTCCTTGTAAGTAGTCTCAGAAAAACACATTATTCTCCTTATTCGTATCTGTGACACTGTGGGTCAGCTTTCCTTGATTGCCATTTTTACAGAGAAATATGAAATTAAGGAGAGAGTAAGACTATGCTTGAAAGAAAGGCACTTTTCCTCTTGCAAAGAAAATGCTAGAAAGCTTTTCTATACCAATACTGGCCTCTCTTAAAGTATTGGTCCATTGAGTAGTTCATTTGCTCAACAAGATAAAATCAGAACTTGTATATCTATATAGATAGATATGGATGTATATATAGATACATAGATATAGAAATATAGAGAGATTGTGCCAACAGTTCCAAAAATACAGCATGCTTTTAAACTCTTTTGTAAAATTTTACATAGTAGCTACTCCGTAGACATTCTTTTTTGTAGAAAAATTTCTTTCTCACTGTGTGTGTGTGAGAGAGAGCAAGTATCTACTATTTTTTCTCTCCCTATAATTCTGTTTCTTCCTATTCCACCTATATCATTTGTCTTCCTCTTTTTATCCTTCATCATCTCCTTGGCCTTTTTGTCTCCAAAGAAAACAAAAAACCAAACGCACTGTCATTGAGTCGGATCCGACTCATAGTGACCCTTCCTGGGGTTTCCGAGGTGGTGGCACTACAAAAATAGCTTGCCCAATCTTCCCTCCGAGGAGTGGCTGGTGGGATTAATTAATACTGCCAGCTTTCTGGTTAGCAGTCAAATGCCTTAGGCACTATGCCACCAGAGCCTCCAGTGGCCTGAAAATAGAAAGTCATAAAGACTTGAATCTAATTTAAAAGCCATATGTTTCTGGAAGAAACTTCCCATAATATTGTCACCACAGGGATTACCTATGAGTAAAATCCATAGTTATAAATTCCTGTCTCCTTTACTTGGGGGGCAAGTCAAGATGAGGAGATTCTTGGAGAGTGGTCACCTACATTGTTTCCTTGACCCCACTTTTAGGGATGGATTTCACAATCCTTGTGACTCTCTAAGACTGGGAGCTGGTGTGAGAAAAAGGATCAACCTCTTAATAGTGAGCAACTGATGACTGTGACCCTGTGGGCTCAGAAACCTGGCTTGTTTCTGCCTCTCCCATGCAAACCCAAACCCACAATCAGCTTACAAGACAAAGTGAATGGCCTCTGTTTTCTTAAACAGACAGAAAATCTAAGGGACACTTAGGCCTATGGAGATGAATGAGGTGTAATGGCATGCTAATGCTGTAATTATCTGGTAGAAGTTACCACCATAGTTGATATCTCTTTATGCTCAGTTTGTCCTGGACAAGACATTGAGTGATTTGATGCAAATCTAGCTTGTTACATAAAAAAGAATTACTCTCAAATGGTTTCAAAGAAAAATGTTGTGTGGTTGGTATAAACAGTTAACATGCTTGGCTGCTAACCAAAGAGTTGGTGGCATCTTGGAAAAAAAGCCTAGTGATCTACCTCTGAAAAACTCAACAATTAAAAACTCTATGGAGCACAGTTACACTCTAACACACATGAGGTCACTATGAATTAATACCAACTTACAGTTGTCTGTGTGTGTGTTTACACAGAGGGAGAAAGAGAAGAGAGAATGACAAAGCAAATGTGGGAATATCCTAATAACTGGTGAATCTAAGTGAAGAATATACAACAGTTTCTTGTACTATTCTTGCAGATTTTTTTTTTTTTTT